GCTGTGTGGAAAGATAAATAAAAATAAATGCGCAATTTGATCATTATAATTTACATTAATTAAAATGGTCTATGAATGCTTAGCTACTGGAAGAATAACGAATGTTAATTCTGTTTTTTTGCATTACTCATTAAAAAAAAATGCATAACTGAAGTAGTCAGCTAACTGCTGTTATTTCCCTAATGCGCTAAAGTCAGAAAAATTTATAGAGCAAGTACCAACTAATTATGCGCATATTTTTTAAAGAACATAACTCTTTATAGCCAGTTTGTTATTAGCAAACATTTATGTATTATTAATTGCATTTAACTGAAGCTTATAATGCTGAACGTACGTTATTTGTTGAGCGCTTAAAGGGAAGAAGGGGCAAGAGGTAATGCGTGAAGTCATAAAAATCACTTCAAATAAGAAAGTGCACATAGATTATATGGGTCATAGCCTTGCACTGTTGAAAACTGAAAGTTTGTAGTCATGTAAATACATATGTATGTATATATCAACCTGGCCATGCATACTGATGAATTTTTTCTGTTTTATGCGGATGACAAAGTCCACCACCACACCAATAAAATAACGTTAATGTAACGTGTTAAATCTTTTTGCGTAAAAATTTATACGTGCATTTATTTATTTATTTTTCTTGACCATGTATTTTATACGAGCAAGTATGTTTATTTATTTTTATTTATTTTTTGTTGTATGTATGTGTGCCTGTGCGTGGGTGAACAGATAAAAAAGTGTTCTTCAAGAACTGCATTATGTACATCAAACATTGCATTTATTTAAAAAATTTGCATACGTCAATAGTGGAAATAAGATTAATTAAATTGCATTGGGCAAGTCATTGTCATAAACATGCTAATTTGTTAATGTAATAAGGAAACAAGGAAATGCAAACGAACTAGTTTTATCTATGCAAAGTTTTGTTTGATGGAATGCGCACGCGCGCACTGGCATTTATGTTATATGTCGATCTGATGTCAGAAATTGTTTGCTTATACCCAATGCACAAGTAATGTACTGGTAGTTTAAACGAAAGGGCAAAAGATTTATTTGAACTACTATTTTGCCCTCACCTCGTGTTAATTTAGTTGCAAATTATTTTTATAAAATTCAACAAACTTAAAGTTAGCCGAAGAAATCTCCTATGTTCATATTTTTCCCTTTTTTAAACTCCTCTTACTAAGCCCTTCAGCAAGACACCCATATTGTGATACATATTTATTTCAATTACCAAATTCCATTAATTGAAAAGGATTTTTGTTTTTTAAACAGTTATCAACTCTGTTACATATAGTTTAGAACCTATTAATTAATTTGAAGTAAGATTAATTTCTAAACAGGTGGTAACAACACCTCAAAAATATTCAGGCCCTTTGCCTTTCGACACCCGTATTGCGATATTCGATCAATCCTATTAATTTCAATTAAATTTTTAATAGGTGGCAACTCTCTTGAATAGCTAATAAATTAAGGATTTTGATGTAACGGCAAAGAGACACTGCGACCGAGATGATTTTTTGTATCCTGATTCTGAAATCTCTAACCCTGAAAGTCCAAATTTGTTTCAGCTGCCAAGAGTGTTATATTTAGTAGACGATTTCCTTACACCTAAGGAATCCTCGCCTTCTTGTTGGACTCTACAGCCGTTTGCCGATAAGGTCCGAGACCCAAAAAACTTCGCCTATTTCCTCCCTCCTTTTCGAGGTGGCAGCAGTTGTACATCCCGAATGCAGACGGGTCCTCCCGCATCAGGCTCATCCACTGTGCACGTGGGCGCCCTTTGTTTCATTATCCACCCACGGGCACCTAAGGAAACTACTGTAATGACTTAAAATGCATTAGACTTTGAGTGGCTAACGCACAGTTTAGATATCACATCGTTCTCAAAGCGAAGTCGACATTTCGTCTGTGTGGGCAGACCCGTAATGTGCATATGAGGGTTGCTACGTTGTGTGCTTATAGGAAGGGATTCTGGAGTTTCGGACCATATATTCCTACCCTTAGACTTTCGTAAGTTTCTGTAACTTCTGTGTACCTACTTTGGGTACAAGCCCGGAAGGTGTGATCCAGACCGCTTTGTTTTCTAGACCATGCCATTCTCATAGAACTGAAAGATGGAAATATTGGTTTTGGTTTGCCCTTCCACCAGTCTGTTGGAGGTCACTCTGCTTTTGCATGTGTGCTCTTTCTAAGGAAGTTTAAGACGACTTTACTTGCGGTAGGGTGGAGCATATCCCCATATTGGGAATTATCTCAAGTAGTTCCTCAAGGTGGCAGTCTCGCAAAGTCTTTAGCATTATCATTTTATTTCCCGCTGATGTCTAAACCAATCTGGATCGTAACATTACTCTGATTCATTTGCGTGTTAGACCTTTTTTTTTACCCCATGTGAGTTATTGCCAAAGGTCCGATCAATGTCTAAGAATGCACAAAAATATATCGCTGTAGTTGTGTGTTATTTGTTTGCCGAGTTTGATAAGATATGCCTCTCTGGGGCGAAAACCGCCCTCTGTTACTAAGTAGTGCCAATTATAAAACTATGCAAAAATATTCAAAGAGTCAAACCTCGCACAACTCAAAACACGTGCACTGGGTATTGATTAATAACTCAATACCGCCCACAACTGCACTAGCACTCGGCAAAGAATGAAACCAAATTAACTGATGTAATTAAAGCGTAGAATTGCATTTATACTGTGTCCCTATTATATATATAAAGAACAATATTAAAACTTTATGCGCAGCTGATAAACAGCGCTTGTGTCTGTCGCCGCCTCTGATTTTTGTGGTTACCCGCAGCAGTTCGCTAGATTTTATCATATATCACATGTTGCTTTATTTTTTTTTATTTTTTGCATATTGTTTGACTTAAAACACGTGTCTTTCAGGTTGTATTCATTTTGTTATTAAATAAATAATTAAATAATATGTAATTATGCAATTATTCGGACATACATATTTGTGTAAGTTGATAGGCTTTATAACTGGGAGCGATACATTTGTGTACTTTTTTGTTTTGAATGAAATACAGACATGCATTTGGTATTAGGCTTACTTTATACATATGTTTTTAAACTCATTTTGAGTAACAGAAATTTGATGACGAAGTCGGAATGCAATATTTGCGCAATGAATATTACTAATATCAGATTAGGAAAGGTCTAAGAGCAGAGCACAAAACAGCCCAGCTTATTTGGACTGAATATGTCATCTGCTTGGACCAGACCCCTTGTTCGGAAGTCGGAGTCTGATCTGACACCCCACACGCGAAAGACAGCTACAAGTCAATTGAAATACAGCTATCTCGCATGTAGCTTAAAAGTTTTTTTTCTTCTTGGCTCCCTTGCCAACTTTCAGAGTGAAAACTTCCTTTGACTGAAAGCAGTTAAAAAATAAAATTTTTTTAATTAAATTAATTTTTAGAAACATATATTTTTCCTTTTCTTTTTTTTATTAAAATTATTTCTTTAATTTATATTTATTTTCTTTTCAGATTTATTTTTTTTTTAATTTCTTTTAATCTTAAGAAACTTATTTTATTTCATTTCTTTTTTTTTAATTATCTCTTTCTAAAGCTACATATAAATTATTTTCCCTTTCTTTTTTGATATTTTTTGTTTTTTATTTATTTTGCTTTTAATTTTTAAATTTTATTGTTTTATAAAGAAATATGATTTTTTATATCATTTAATTTATAAAAAACTTTGTTTTTTATTTTTTGAACCATTTTTTTAACTTTATTGTCTTAATAATAAAGCTTTTTTAATTTAATAAATTTTTAGAAACTTATATTTATTATTTGTCCTTTTCTTTTTTTAATTTTACTTTTTATTTTTAATTTAACATTCTTTTAGTGTTTAGACTTCATTGCTTTAAAAAGAAGAATATATATTCCTTTAACTTTCATTTAGTTTTTAAAAACCTTTTTTATAATTTCCTTTTAATTTTTTAATTTTACTTATTTATATTTATTGGGTTTTCGTTTAGTTTTAAGATTTTACTGTTTTGAAAAGAAAAAAATTTTTAACTTTCATTTGCTTTTATGCACTTAATTTATATTTTTCTTTAATTTTTCGCTATGTTTAATTTAAATGACTTAAATTTTTAAAGTTTTTTGTTAAAAAAAAAAAAATATTTTTATATATTTAACAGAAATTTTGTTTATTAATTAATTTTTTAATTTAACATTTTTTTTTAAATCAATATACTTTTAATTTCTAGATTTTATTGCAATTAAAAGAAAAATTTTGTTTTATTAATTGAACTTATTTTTAACAAATTTGAAATTCGATTAAACAGGGCTAGATGCAAGGGTTAACGCGGAAATGACGCAAAAGCTGCGCTTCTTTGTATGCACACTTGCCCCTTTCCTCATTCGGTCGTCTAAAAAGTAAATACGTATAGCATAAACATAGAGCAAAAGCAGGCCATAAATACGAATTTATAAATCTCTCGATTTCAGTGCCTTCTGTTATTTGCTTCGTTCAGTGAGTTATTTGCTAGCTTACATGAAGACCAGACTTTGTCTGCAGCTCTCAAGAATAGCCAAAAATTCATATATGTATGTACTACTTACATAAAATGAAGTAGAAAATTGGAATAGAAATTTTCTTATATCAAAATTTCTTCAATCAGTATGTAGCTAGTAAGACAGCGAACGCAATGTTATAGGCACCATAGATGGTGCGTCTGACTTGCGAGTCATCTGTGTACGTGTTGACTCATCTTTCGTGTACACACAGTTGAGTCGTCTCACTCAAAGTCATGCCAAACCGACTCGCGAGTCAGACGCACCGTGTATCCCGCCTATAAGAAACAATAGAAATAACGAAAAATATTTCTTGTGATTTTTCTTGAAAACTGCAGGCAGCCCAGTTAAGGAATATTTAACTTCCGAAAATTTGTTTAAGATCCATTAAGTAGTTTTTTTTACCAGTTTATTGTTTTTCTCTTTGAAAAACTTTATACCTTCTTAAGTGTATAGTTTGTTTACTTACATATTTGTTTGCTTTTTCTTTCTATTCCACATATATAGATGCAGCTCCGATGGTTATTATTCTGTGTTGCGGCACTTCTAATGCCACTAAACTCAGCAGCTTTCAACATCCTCTTCATGGGTCCGTTTCCAGCGCCCAGTCATTGGATGTGGCTGGAACACTTTCTGCGAGATCTATTAGAACGGGGACATCATGTAACAGCTGTGACAAATCATCGCTCCAAATATCCACATGAAAATCTGACAGAGATCATTATTGAGCCAAAATTCGATATACCCTACTATTGTGAGTATAGTTTGACATTCATAGTATATTTAGCTCGAAATATAAAATTGCCTACAAGTTCTCACATTCCTTGTAATTTTCTTCCCAACATCTTTTGGTTGCAGTTCCCAAAGATAACATCTTCAAAATGCGTTTCTCAAATGATTTTCAAAACCTGCAAATGTGGTGGCATGTGGGACTGCTAACCAGCGAACATGCGCTCAATGATCCCAAGGTCAAATCGCTGATCGCCAGCAAGGATCTGGAATTCGATCTCATGGTCTTGGAACAGTTCTTCCACGAGAGTTTCCTAATGTTTGCGCACAAATTCAAGTGTCCTGTGGTGACGCTAGGCACCATGGGTTATGCGGATAATATGGATCACGCTATGGGGCTGCTTACGCCTTGGTCCTTTGTGCCACACCTACTGCTCTCGCATACAGATCAAATGACGTTCACACAACGTGCCTACAATACATACTTATCGCTTTACGATGTCGTTATGCGACGCTGGCATTACATGCCGAGAATGCAGGAAATGGCTGAAAAGCATTTTTCCGGATTCATTGAAGGTACACAACTAATCGCACGGCTAGGAAGGTTGCTTCACTGATAACCAATATTTGTTGTTTGCATTTTAGGTCCATTACCAAATGTACGCCAACTGGAGAAGAACATTTCAATGATGTTCATTAATAGCCACCGCAGTCTGGATGTGCCGCGACCCACCATTTCGGGTTTGCTTAATGTGGCTGGTGTGCATATAAAGAAAGCCAAACCGCTGCCACATGATATACAGGTTGGTCCAAACAAATTCCACTAACTTTCACATAAATTTACAAAAAAAAAAAATGCTTTCCTCCCCGCAGAGTTTCCTGGACAACTCCACTCACGGCGTAGTCTATTTCAGTATGGGTTCCTATGTGAAAAGCACTGATATGCCGCAAGATAAAATCTCACTCATCCTCAGCGCTTTCAGCCAACTCAAGCAGGATGTATTGTGGAAATTCGAAAACTCATCGATTGGTCAGCTGCCGCCAAATGTGAAAATCCAAAGTTGGCTGCCTCAGAATGACATACTCGCCCATCCAAATATAAAAGTTTTCATCACACATGGCGGCCTTTTTGGCACCCAAGAGGGCATCTACTGGGGTGTGCCTATGCTCTGCATACCGCTCTATGGCGATCAGCATCGAAATACTATAAAGTCAGTGCGCGGCGGCTATGCGCGTTCGCTGAATTTCGGTCAAATGACAAGTGAAGATTTGGTGCTGAACGTACAACTGCTAATAAGCGATTCCAGCTACAAACAGAAGGCACTGGAAGCATCGCGAAAATTCAGAGATAATCCTATGCATCCCTTGGACGAAGCCTCTTTCTGGATGGAGTATGTGGCTCGACATAAAGGTGCGCCACATTTGAAGTCCGCCGGCGCCTATATGCCGCTCTATCAGTATTTGTTATTGGATGTGTTCGGTTGCGCGCTTTTAGTGGCCGTTTTAGCGATTTGGTTGCCTTTAAAGTTTTTGAAAGTCGTGCGAAATCTTCTGAAACGGAAAGAGAAGGTGAGCCCAGCGGCTGATGCGAGCAAAAAGCGCCAATAAAACTGTGATTTATAGAAATAAGTATACGTAGTCATATAATTGCTTGCACTAAGTGCATATATGTAAATTAATTTTAAGAAAATAAGTTTTGTAGTCCAGAAATCTAAGTTCTTCCGTATTCGCATTGTTTTCAAACTGTTACATACTTATATGTTATATTAACCAAAACCTTTCGATAAGTGACTTCAACACCTCTTCTGCCTTAGTGCCTTAAATAAAAAAATAAAAAATATCAACAGCGGTTTTTGATTGACTCAGTGGTCTAACATTATTCGAGAGAAAACTGACAGAAAAATCACTCAGGTAGCTTTGTTTCTTAACAGAGTAAGCTTTGACATAGCGTTTTGCAACAAAGAGGTTAACTAGGCTTCGGGAAGATCCAGGTTTACAAAACCGACACGGAAACAGGATTAGCAAGGTCATAGAATACAATCGCTTCATCCGAACCAACTTGCTGATGCGCTATTTTTATGAACTCACAAACGAGATCCTACCTCGCGCAAACACTCGCGAAACCATCACCACCTAACCAAACTTTCGATCCGTGAATGCTTTTATCTGGAGATTAAGATCTTTAGCTGCATTGAGAGAGCCGAGCAACTCTTGCGCACCTACATAAGTTCTTGTCCAAACTCGACCGCGACATGTCCCGCACATATTCGGCTTGTAAAGACAACACGCATGACATACATCACTTCTTCACTTGCCTCCTTAAAATTACTCAGTGTTCGCCCCTCTCTCTAACTCAGCCGACTCCATGGAAACAATACTTTACGTGGATATATGTATCTTTAATTGAGCCCGACAACAGGGACTGAGAAAACAGTCGATCTGGGAATCCATCGAGAAGTACATTGCCGCTCGCTGTAATGATCTGCTCCCGTAGAAATAGGGTCGTATTGAGGCGATCAGAGTAGGTTCCCTATCTTCATTCCCTTTTCGGATCTGCGAATAACTAAAACCGCTCTAAACACGTGCCTTTTAACTTCCCCGTCGGAATTAAGTATGTACCGACCGCTGTATTTTGGATGCCAGTTTCTGAGGCAGCCCTCTCCTGATAAGGGGTTTCAGAGGGAAAATTTCTCACACCATCAACCATACCCTTTGAATTTATTGGGCACGCGGTCGCTGCGAATTTTCGGCAGAAGTCATGAAGCAACTCTGCAAACCCGACTACCACTGACTGCGGGACGACCTTCATTTTTAGTTCCTGTAACGTGTCGTGAATAAAGTCGACTACCGCCACTGACCCGATGCCTGTTGACTGCTGAGAGTTATTATAGTGCGAGGTATGCATGTTGTCAATTGCAAGTAAATTTTCTTTAGCTTTGCTTCCACTCTGTTTTCAAGCTAAGGTTAGGTAAGCTCGTTAGCCACTACATGGCACCACAGAGACCATTAAGTTTCAAAGCGTCACCAGATAAGCTACGAACCTATTGTATAGTTAATCACTGAGCGTCAAGAGCAATGTTGAAGAACATCGCAGTGCTATTGGCAAATAGGAAATCCTTGTTGTATCCAATGTTGGCAGCGGCTTTCAAGTTAGGCAGAAAGCCTGCTGAATCGCAGTCTGCTAAAAGCAGAGGACACTCACATAGTATATGCTCTATTGTCTCCTCTTTCGATCTGCATCTTCTACAGATTTTATCATTAGTCCAAGCCAGCTTAAAGGAGTGGGATGCCAACAGGCAATATCCCGTTAGTACACCACCAGTAGTTTAGCATCCTCACTCTTGAGGAATAGGAGAAAAATCGCGAGCTTTATGTCATACGCTCCGCAATCAATTTGAGACACCTTGCAACTTTGCGTTTTGGTCCACGACCTCTGCGCTTTCCGGATCATGGACATTTCGAGCTTCCGTGTAATCGCTTGGAGGGAAATAGGCACCTCCTCTTATTGCATATTTTCCGACAGGGCGCCTTCTTTGTCAAGCCTGTCGGCCTCTTCCTTGCCCGCGAGGTGTATCCCGGATACCAGTACAGACGTACATCAGTACCAGTATGTAGCAAATCCAGAGTTGTCCTGCAATCGGTCACACTTCTCTAGGAAGTGCTGTACGATAGGAGGATAGATAGAGAAACGACTGGCGTGCTTTGTTGAACTCAACTTTCGCTTAGGCGGTTACAGCGCCAAACAATAAGAAGAATCATTTAGATAAATACACTGCGCTAAGTTATAAACCTTGAGTTCGATAGAGTTTTAAATACTTAACGTAGTCGCATTTTATCTTCTCTTTATTTAATTTATTTTCTTCCGAAAACCTTGACCTTATTACATTGAACGCTGCGCGCGAAATCCATTTGAATAGAGTGAAAGTCAAGCGTGAGATTTATAATTAGATTTCAAATTACTTGCGCCCCGCAGAGAGAGCACGCCTCACCGATTATATTGCAACTCACCTAATTTCGATTAATTACTTTGCATTCAATACCATTTTTACATATTTTTCAATGAATGGCTTGCTGCACCAAATAAAATACTTGCAAAAGTACATATAAAAGATAAATTGACAAGCAGATGTTACATATCGGACAATGAACTTTTCAGTAGCGCAAACCCACATAAATGATCTCGAAAGAGATTAACAAATAAGTAAACAAATCAATAAAATATATTAAAATAAAATAATACTCATCTAAAGGCTAAACCACACGATTGGTGGATTTTCTACAGATTTGTATTTTCTGACAGTTACAGAGTTTATTTGGTTTGAAATTTTTTTTATTGTTGATAAAACGACTTCAATGCTCGTATAAAAATTTAGGGATACCGCAATATCAGCATGTCACAATGATCCGAACTAAACCAAATTAATATGGGATCGCAGTTGAGGTATCAACTTTCCGATAAACAATCAAGATCGATAACAAAAATATATAAACTTATGGTCAGCTGATTCAGTTAAATGACGTTTTCACAAGTTTTTGTTATTTTTCTTTTGTTTATTTAAAGTTTATAATTTTTTTCTAAGTCTAACACATTACATAATCAACACCACAAAAATCCACATTTTAAACTTCTTTTAAAAATTATAAAAATTCTACAAACTTTAGCAATTACACAAAAAAACTTTTAAATTTTTATTAAATCCTTTTAGAAAAATTTTAGGATAGCTCATTAAATTTTAGTAGCTTATAGTGCAAATTTGAAAACGCTAGAAAATCGCGTTAATTTTATATATATATATATATTTTTGCTGACGGTGTTACGCATTTTCTTCCATATTAAAATAATTGTCGAGCATACTTTATATGGGAGAAAATGCTACTAATATTTAATTAGCTATAAAACTGCGTACTCAAAATTTTTCTAAAAATTTTTATAAAACGTTTAATTTTTTTGGGTGTAATTGTTAAAATTTGTTGAATTTTTATACTTTTTGTAGGAAGTTTGAAATGTGAATTTAGGTGGTGCTGGTTAAGTAATGTGCTAAACTTTCATAAAAATAAATTATAAAAATTAGATATAAAAAATAATAATTAACTTTTAGCAAAATAAAAACTGGCTTCAATTCTCATTTCATAAAAATATATATATATATATATATATCTCATGATCCAATGATCGCATCTAAACCGGATTAGTATGGGACCACCTCTGAGATACTGCCTTTCCGATGCAAAAAGAATTATCGAAATCAGTTGACGTGGTCCAAAATTATGCGGTAACATTCATAAAAAAAAATAAAAATATTCCGGCGAACTGATAACCTCCTCCCTTTTTGGAAGTCGGTTAAAAATAGCCAAATATGGTCAAAATGTAACTTAACTTAACGAGCTGACCACAAAGGTATATACTAGAGGTATACGCCGCCGAGCCACGCCGCCGCCGCCACCGTTTTTTGTCATTTTTCACGCGCCGCCGCCGAATTACGAAAATATCGGCGCGGCGGCGGCGGCGGCGGCGTTCGGCGCCTAAGGAATTTTGTACTACTCGTAAACAACACTATTTTAGAAAATGAAAATTACATTTTTAAAGGAGTTTTTTTTTGCTTAATTTGGGCCACTGAACATTTCCAAAAAAAGCGTAACTCAGAAAAAACATAGGTAACACGTTTTTCAATCGAAAGCGTTTATTACAGTTAAATTAGGGTCGAATACTGGTAATCTGACAATTTTTTTCCGCAGTAGACAATTTTTTTCAATACTACAACAATACTACTTTTTTATATACTACAACAACAAGAAAGTTATAACACATCTAAAACTTTAACGCAAATATCTCAGAAAGCAGTTTTAACAGAAGCGCCCTTATTGCATCTAACTCCTCAATTATTGGAGATAAAACAAAGATAAGTTGATTTTCCTGTGTATTTTTTTTTAATATTATAAACACACTTTTAATAAAAAGCAAACTCTTTTTTTTGCTAATTTTTGCATTCGTAACTTATTTTATTCTGGGGTCCCGCAGACGTATACAAGTACTAGGTGGCTGTGTGAAAATTACGTTAGCATTTCTAAGTGGTGGTCAAATCCCAGGAAGGTTTTGCTCCCGCGCATCGCAATGTCTTCTACACAGGTTTAAAGTCCCCCTTTTTGCTAAAAATTACTATTATTTTTCATTACATTCGGTTCTCCTAAGAAAAATTTGGCGCTTTATATTTTAGTGGAAATTTTAACCATCTATAAGCCATTTTTTAAACAGTGGGTAAAAAGGCCCGTTCTGGTGGGAGTTGATGGGTTAAACTTTTGGAAAAAAGTAGACCAAACCTTGTTTTCAATACATAACCCCCAAAAAAATCGTAACAACTCCGTAATTTAACATAACGGTTGTTAAGATTATAGCAAAAATTTATTGACAGCGATACAAATTATCCCAATAACTTGACCTTTTAAATTTTTGTATTTCTTTAAATTTAAATAGCACATACGGATTTGTAGAGAACATAGAGATGTACATATGTATATACCTCAAAATTTCGTGTGTTCGCCCATCCATCAGCGGCAGACACTCAAGATTTTAATGCAAGTAGAAAGTAATGTAATTTAAATTTAAAACTAATTCAATTAATGAATTAAATACAATTACAATCTGAATTGCCATGGCGAATGCCTAAGGGTGCCGAGATGACAGGACAAGATTAGTAGCCTCATGGCTCTTTGGAATCTACCTTATGAGCAGTAGCGCCGGCGTCTCCAGACGCGCCGGCCTCGCCGCCGCCGCCGATTCTTTTTGAAGTTGACCACGCCGCCGCCGCAAAGCCGTTCGGCGTAAACCTCTAGTACATACATACAGTCCGCCTCTTTTTGATGCTAGAAAAATGTGTTAATATTTTAGCCATCACTTTGTTTGCGATCTACCTTAGCGCTCAACTCTGATGTTGATCGCAATAGGCAGATCACAAAATGTGTTGCCCACTTTTAGGCTTTACTGGTGGTTAGCATTGCATTGCATACATACATATCAACATCATTCCTACCCTCCAGTACTGCTGGAGTCAATCGCTACTTTTGAACCGCTACTGCACCGACTCTTAGGAAAGTAGCTACTCTATTAACCCATGGTAGTGCAAATGGTGGTGCAGAGTCGAACCAGTCGCAAGCAGGATAGCGAAAAACTACGACAGAGGGCGCCCATAAATCACGCAAGTGACTACTTTAGTAACTCCCGGTAGTGCAGAGAGAGCCGATGGTGACTACCGCCTAGGACATTGCCTTGTTAAAGTAATCGATGAAATACACTGCAAGTAGTCGGTCGGTAATTGACGGTGTTTATTAGGTAGCTACCGATTCAGCAGTCCTGTAGTCGCTCCCCCGTACTGCAGGGTAGCTTCAACTTCGCCTTACCATTGCCAATCACCCAATAAGTCAAGTAAGATATGTACTTATATACATACATACATACATATGTACCTGTATATGTATCCCAAAAAAAAGAAATATATAAGTTTAAATAAAATAAAGCCTATATTTATCTTTTAAATACATACATAACTGCAACGTTCCATTTTTCCACACAGCTTGGAGTAGTCAAATGTCTAAAGAGAAAGCAATAATAAGAAAAATAAATTAACAGCAAAAACTTGTACAAACAGAAATCGTCTTGTACTTAACTGGTGCAGTCAAGAAATTCATATCAGTTTTACGTTGTGAATTCGTTGATTTGGTGTCGCAGATTTTTGCTGAAATTGTTTTATTTTAAAAGTAAAAGGCATATTGATGTACAAAAATGAAATGGTAGGAAAGTTGGCAAAAGAATTGTGTATAAAAAAAAAATTTTTATATAAATATCTATGGATGTATGTCCAGTAGACCGTACCACCTCACAAGTAAAAAAAAAAAGTTCGCAGTAGTACACTTCTGAATTTAAAGTATGTTTGCAAGGAAATTTCGAAAACTAAGCTTTTTTTGTTTTTTTTTCTGTTATTATTTTGAAGGTGCTCCGCGCAAAAATATAGTGGTCTGATTTTGTGTACGCCTGTGTTTTTCGTTGTAAATTTTTTTTTACAGAAAATTTTAAATTGAAAAAAAAAAATCTGAAAATTTTAAAGTCCGAAAAAACCGTTTTGCTTTCTCTGTCTGTAGTGACTGTATAACGCGTTTTTGAGGTTTTATTATTATTGTTACTATTATTTGATAAAAGGGGGGGCGGGGTAGGATATAACAGAGAATAACTGTGTTTGTTTAGGTAGCCTTTTCAGATTTTAAAGAAAATATTTTTTTTTAACAGTTCTACTAGAATATTCGATACGCTTCCTCAGCAAAGGTATCATGATTTTTAGCGTGCTTTAATTCACTGAAATTATGATGGTACGTTAGGGTGTTAAGAACTGAGTTTTGGTGGGTAAATACTGGAATGGGTTACTTGAGGTCAATGAACTTTGGAGTAAAACAAATTGTCTCTTTGGCACAAGAACATCGATATATGTGTCCTTAGTACTTTAATTCGACTGTAAATTCCAAATGTCGAAAAATTTAACAAGTTGACAGCCACGTTCGGCAAAAAAAGCATGTACGTTAAACTACGTACATACGGCAATCTGTTATTATTTTTATTAATGGCACTTAGGGTTGCCAGACCTAAAATGCCGAAATTGGTACAGATATGAACAAATTGGTGGACTTGGGGTACAACTGAAAAAGAAAAAAGGGGATGTTTTCGGCGGACAAGTAAAACTAAATGTATTCAACAAAAAAATTATTTATTCGCTTATGGAACAACAAAGCCGTTCATAAATAAAAATTCAATATCATTTGAACAAAACAAAGTTACACTGGCGATCATAACTGAGTGCATGGTGATTTTATTTTAAATATTTACACTCTTTTTCAAGTAATTATTTTTTTTTGTTATTTTTTATAAAACTATTTTTCATGCTTTAGCCAAAACCATAAAATTAATTCAAACTTTCAAACTGAATACAAAAATGCAACAAATTTCCATATAATTTTTTAGCATTTTTGTCTGAATTCTCGGATATGCAGTTTAAAGCATTAAAATTTACTTGTAAAACACAGTAGATATTTGAAAAAATCACCATGCACTCAGTTTTGATCGCCAGTGTATGTACAAAAACAAAGATATGTACATTTACCTACATATGTATATTAGACTGCATCACTCCCCATACATAAAAAAATCGGTGCTATTTTTCCATTGGAATTATAAAATCTATTATATTTTAAGATCTCCACCAAAATATTTCGAAAAAATATTAAGATTTAAGTGAGCTGGACCAATTTCAAAATACCTCCAAAAATGGAGTTTTTTATGAATAAAAATAGTTTCTTAAATTTTTTTTTTCAAAAAATCCCTTCAAATGACAAAACGGGATAAGCTTTAAATAAAATTAAGAAAAAATTTTAACGGAATCGTAATGATGAGATTTTTGATGCTGTTTTTTTTTAACTTTTTTCATAGATTGGTATAAGAAAAACTTGAATAACTGAGCCTAAACTCTTCTGATTTAGACTTGAGAGCTGTCGGTGGAGAGGTATTTTCTCACGCTTTTTATTTCTTTGCTAATAAACTCATTCAAAGGATGAAAGAGTAAGGTAGGATGAACGAACGTCATTCAAAGATGAATTAAGATGTGTTGGTATTTGAAAAAAACAAATGGGACACGAACAATTTTTTTTTTGTGACAGAAATAAAAACAGTGTGAAAATACCTTTCTACTGAGATCCCATAAGTCTAAATCAGAATAGTTTTAGCCCAGTTATTCAAGTTTTTCGTAAATCAAACTTTGAAAAAAGTAAAAAAACAGCATCAAAAAACTCATTCTTACGATTCCGTTGAAAAGATTTTTAAATATTTGTATGCAGATTTTTTAAGCTTAATCTGTTTTGTCATCTGAGGGGACTTTTTTCAAATAGTTCTTTACGAACCTATTTTTATTCATAAAAAACTTAATTTTTGGAGGTATTTTCAAATCGGTCCAGCTCACTTAAATCTTAATATTTTTCCCAAATATTTTGGTGAACGTCTTAAAATATAATAAGTTTGGTTATCCCGGCGGAAAAACCGCAACTTTTTTTGGTGATGCAGTCTAATGTATATATGTATGTATACATATTTAGCTTTAAATCTGGCATAAGAACATTTTCAAATAAAAATTATACTTTCCGTTCCACTTTGATTCAACTAATCGCCTGTGAAAGTTGAACAACATAAACGCGCTTAAAGCTAAAAGTGAACGATGTCGGGCAAGAGTGAGGGACCTACGCCACTTTCCGTAGCAAGGTGGGACAAAAAGTCAAAATGGGGTATGTCCCCCTCCAATGGGGTACGCCTGGCAACCCTAATGGCGCTCAGCATCATGCCATCAGTTGGTTTTCTTCCTGGCCAATAGTTGTTGTTTAACCAGTAAAAGTCCAGTAAAGCTTGCAAGTTCAGCTGTCATTTTAGCTTTCCAGTAAAATTATTATTAGTTTTTACTGAATAGTTGATATTTTTAATTTCAAAAATTTCTGAAACGCCACATCATTGCCCGATAATTATATGTTTGTGTGTGTGTAGTAAGCACATAATTTTTTCCCCCTTCTTTTTAATATTTTTTGGCGCCTATAATACGACTGCATTTCATACTCGTAGGTACAGCTCGCTCTATTAAGCTAACATTTTCTTGTGAATGTTAAGTTTACATATCGTCGTTTAAAGTACAAAACCGCGTATCAACAAAATGCAAAACCGCGTGTCTGAGGTTGCATAAATTATTTTCCAGAGAGTAAAAACATTCATATTTCAAAATTGTTTTATTTTTTAAAAAGCAATCGCATTTCTGTCTAATTAATTTCAGGACGAATGGATAAGGATTATGCCAAGAGTTTGTGTGAGCAAATCCAATTTTTGGCAGCCAATGTCAGCTACGCGGTTGTGCAGAATGACGATACGCGGTTTTGTACAACCGCGTAACTGACATTGGCTCTTCTATTTTAGGGTGGTCCTTATATGTACGAAGCACATTTTTATATCCGCTTTCTTAAATCTTAACCGCTACTTCTATGCTACTATAGTGGAACGTATTACATATAAATTTCGGTACCGATTGGAGTCGGTTAAGGCGTGTCGCACAGGGGTCAAAATTCAGATTAAAATAAAAATAATTTTATAATATTTTTCCGCCTAAAGGGCTATTTGCAGCTCTGAAGAAAAAGAATCAGGACCAAAGTTGTTGACCGTTGTGTTACTGATTGAGGCGGTCAGACTGAAAAAAATTTGTTTAATAAGGACCACCCTAATGTCCATAGAAACATACATATTTATATGGATTTTTATTTATAAATCAGCGTCATAAAGCTGAAAAATCAAATATACAATTGCGATTATTTAAGCTCCAAAACTCTTCGCAAAAGCTTGCTTTATTAAGGCTTTCGTACAGCTGTAGGGACATTCCAACGTTACGGCATTTACATTTAATTTACATTTTCCAAGAATTGCGTGTGAGACAACGCAAACACCTGCCCTTCTGAATTGATGGATGCGTGTCCCAATTTTAGACAAACTGTAAATATTTTGTATATAGCGGCTTTCCCGTGTGTAGTTAATAGAATTTTAAGGTCCATTTATGCTTTGATGGCATTATTATACTTAACTCATTAAGCTAGTGACGGGTGGGACGAGTTACTATTGAAGACAGATACTAGTAAGTAGTAAAATGAACATTTCTGATTTTAGTAAAATGAACATTTCTGATTTGATATTTAATTTTTATTTATTTAATTTTTAATAACAACACCATATTTAAGCAATGGGAAGGTTCAGTGTTTGTAAGTTAGGTTAAAAAAAGTAAGAGCGTGAAACTTACGTTACATACATATCTATTTTGTCTCATAACCAATATACTACATACATACATACTACATCTGCTTTTGCTTACGGTTATATTTTTTGTCTTTTTTACCTAAATAGATGCCTACTCTACCCACCCCTGTTCGTTCTAATTACAGTTACGTTATTCTGTTTTCCTTTACCTTCATTTTTATCTTTATACTTTATCGATAACAAAATCGATAGTTACATCCAATAAAATATCGATAACAAAAGCGATAATAAAATCGATGAAAAATTCGATACAAATTTCGATAGCAAAATCGATAATAATATTGGTAGCAAAATCTATTAGAAACTCGATAAAAATGTCGATAAAAATATCCGTAACAAACTCGATAAAAATATCCGTAAAAAAATCTACAAAAGTATTCATAACAAAATCTATAAAAGTATTCATAACAAAATCGATAAAATATCCATAACAAAATCGATAAATATCGCTAAATATCGATAACATAACCGAAACATATCGATAACAAAATCTATATCTATCTATATAAATATCGCTAAGAAAATAGTTAAATATATCGATTACAAAATCGGTAACAAAATATCGATAGCAAAATTCATAACAATATCGATAAAAAACTCGATAAAAATATCGATAACAAAACCGATAAAAATATCGATTATTTTGTAGATAAGTCCCGAGAATCCCGAAAATCTCTAAAATTCCAAAAAAGCTCCCAGATTGAGTCCCTGTGTCTCTCAGATTTAAACGCAATTTTTTTTTTGTTTTTTTAATTAACTGTCGTGTCTCTTCGCTGGAATAACCCTATAGCAATTGGAAAGCTACGCTCCGCGCGACTCCGCTGCCTGTGTGTGTGTATGTGCGTTCACTTAGTGCTTTACAAATAAAATTAATAACTATTGCAAGTGCATAATGATTAAGAAAATTCCTAATAAATAGATAGGCCTATCAATCAACTGATATGGCTTGTCTGATTTGAATTCATTCAATAGGCATATATACTATGGGTTTGTGCTACTGACCTAGCTTTTGCTAACGGCTTGGTGCATTCCTGGCGAGATAAGCATAGTCTTGCTGAAAAAAAAAAAAACAAAAAACTGATTAAGGTTGGTTAGAATCAAAAGTGCAAAATCGAGTATTGCAATACATAATACCTAGTCATCAAATAATTATAAATATATGTACATGCACATACATAATACGAATAATATCAAATTGAACTTTAACTAGCGTGTTCATTGGGATGCAAATGATTAATCGGACAGATGTACCATACGTAGGTATATATGCATGTATTTGCTAGTTGCGCATTTTCCATATCAGCAAGAAAAAACAAAAACAAAATCAATAAAAAAGACGCAGGACAAAAACAATTGTGCATCACCATGTGTTGACACTTCAGATTTATATACATATGTATGTACGTAATCAGCTAAAAATAATTATTAACTATCACACCCAGACGCGCTTCGAATGTGTGAGAACATTGAAATCTTAGCTTCAAGCGTCTGTCTAATAAAATGCAAGTTCGGAGATATGCTAATAAGTAATTTATGTACGCACGTTCACGCAATCAGCTGAACTTTTGCCATTTAACAATTAAAAAAAAAATAGGACGAAAAAACATTATCGATAATTTTAATTTGGATTGGCTACCCAAGCAGTGTACCCAAGTAGATAGTATATACTTTTAAGTGAACATTTAGTTTAATGCAGCATTAAAAATTCTGGCAATTTTTTGCAGATGCAGAGGCAAACGCTGCCATTACTGCTCGCGGCAGCTTTGCTGTCGTCTACCTGTGTAGCTTACAATATTCTCTTTATGTGTCCCTTCCCAGCGCCAAGTCATTGGATGTGGATGGAGCATTTTTCATCAGAACTATTGCGACGCGGACACAATGTCACCACGCTGACCAATCATCCAGTCAAGCAGCCACATCCCAACTTAACGCAGATCATTATTGAGCCACACTTTAATATAACATATTACTGTAAATAAATAGTTGCCTCTTAACACACTGCTGCAGCAAACTAAATGATTTTCTTTTTTTTCAGATCGCAAAGAGGATATTTTTAAAATGCATTTTTCCAGCGAATTCGCAAATTTGAATGTATACTGGCATGTCGGCTTATTGAGCTCGGAACACGCGCTCGCTCAGCCGGCAGTTAAAGCTTTGATCGCTAGCAAGCATCTCACATTCGATCTTATTGTTTTGGAACAATTCTTTCACGAGAGTTTTCTGATGTTTGCGCATAAATTTAAATGTCCTGTGGTGACTTTGGGCACCATGGGCTATGCTGATAATATGGACCATGCTATGGGTCTGCTTACACCTTGGTCATTTGTTCCGCACTTATTTCTCTCGCATACAGATCGCATGGACTTCTTTGAAAGAGCTTGTAACACTTATCTGTCGCTGTATGATGCTGTGCTAAGGCGTTGGTATTATATGCCGAGAATGCAGGAGATGGCTGAGAAATATTTTGAAGGATTTATTGAAGGTAAGTTGTGGAAAAAGAGGACTAAGGACAGTATATGAACTTCGGAGTTCAGAACAAGGTAAACCAAATGAATAATTCCTTTTAAGACTATGCTAAATATCAAACAGATTTTATTTAAAACGAATGGCGGTTTATTAAAAATATGAACTACGTTTCGGTTCGTGAAGACCGCGCATTTAGATCCGGGCTCGAGCAATCGGCAGGGCGTAAATGAAGCGGATCTGAGTGCCCGAGCTAGCGTAAGCTCTGGGAGTAACGGAGGACTTTTATTTGCATGGAACTCTGCCGTGGCTAACCGTTCTTCCTCAAGCCTCTTTCCTCGGGCACCAAAACTTAGCCCTGGAATCCTGTGCGGGTAAAAGTACCACCGATGCACAACGCGTTAAAGCTAGAATTTTGGCATTATCTTCGAAATAGCCCATATTACCAAAAGTCGAACCCAGCAAAAACTACAGCAAATTTCTTAAGGGCAGGAAGCAATTAACGTCTTTTTCTCCAATGCTGAGCTTTCAGAGGACTTGTACTTTACGACTGTCCTCTCATAGATACTTCTTAGAGAGATCCCTCTCTCCCTATGTGTAGGACAATGAATGTTTCTTCTTTACTTTCCTATTGCAGCCATTTCTGGCTTTCTAAACCCCCTGCTGCCGCAGACAAGCAGCAAAATCGCAGCTTCGGGGCTAACATTGTCACCGCTGCTTGCCTGCGACTACAATTCGTCGTCGTCGGAAGTGTTGCTCCCACCCGACTTCTTTTCAACGACTGCATGCCTGCCCAGACAGGACGTATGGACCAACCCCTCTTCCTTCCCAGTAGAAGCCGTGGACTCGCAGTCTGCGGTTCCATTACATAGCCTGATAAGCTGAGGAATATCGACGACAGTTGACCTTCTTGCCCACTATCTACCCCCGGTAGTGAGTATACGACCCCCTCCACCGTAATCTTCTCGTTCTAATTTATTATCCACCAAATGGCCACCTAGGACCTGTGAGGTTTCTTTTATGTCTGCTATACCTGACTCGAAAAAGGCACAGATTCCAGCGCCCTCTAACATGACGAACGGGCGCTCCATAAGCCGTTGGGGTTTGGAACATTAAGCCTTACTCAGTGTGCACCGCGCGGAGCGGACATAAACTACAACTCAGTAGTGAAATGGATATTTCTTAGAACTTTCTTGTAGCCTTACGAACCTGCGGTTTGAAAATGGGAACGTAAGCGAAAAGCGGGATACCGAAATGGTATAGATTTTATAACTTCATAAACTTTAACTTCCCTATGAAAATTTTCGATCTTGGATTAGTAATTGACTTCGTTCTTTTAGCCTTGTTTAACCACCAAGTAAAATCGACCACAATCTGGTTTTTCTGAGAAAAAATTAATAACCTTCATTTAGTTAAGAGAGATACCGAAAATCGATCATTACTTTTAGTTGCGAGCTGGGTGTAAATCCCAGTAAAACGGATCTTATTACTTTTACTAGGAGGTATAAGATACCGAATTTCCGTCTTCCCCCAAATGGGTGGTCTTCTTCTAAGGCTCTCTGACAGAGTGAAGTACTTGGGCTTGATCTTTGACGGTAAGCTTTCCTGGAAACCTAACGTAGAGGAAAGAGTCAAGAAGGTTACAGTAGCATTGTATTGTTTTAGAGGGTCCATTGGCAAACGCAGGAGTCTCTCGCTGAAGATAGTTAATTGCTTTTATGAAACAATAATCAAGCCAATTTTATTATATGGGGTACTCGTCTGGTGGACCGCACTAGACAAGGCCTATATCGGTTAGGTGGCGTGGGCCTTAAGTTCGCCTCGAGCTATGAGCACTCCAGTATTCTGAAAGGCTTCGAGTTCCTACCGACTCGGACAGACCATTCCATGCCGGTTCTTGGTCCGAATGGACCTTTTACCACCCATATTTCAGCGAGAGGAAACCGGAAGGGGTGCAGTATATGGAATCAAGGACCTGTAAACTTATTTACAGATGGATCGAAGCTGAATGGGTAGGTGGGTGGAGGTGTCTTCTGCGAATACCTCTCCATCAACCTGAAATTTAGGTTACCGGATCACAGCAGCGTTTCTCAGGCTGAGGTGGCCGCGATAAAAGAGGCTTCGGATTGGTTGCTCTTTAGTGTAACATCTTTTAAGGAGGTGCATTTTTTTCTGACAGCCAAGCAGCCATCAGGACTCTTGGCTCTCAGATGGTGCGTTCGAAGAGTGTAACTGTGGGAGTATTTGACTTCCCTATCGACCACGTCCGATTATTTCAGTGAAATCTCGGGCAACTACATGGCTGATGAGCTCGCAAGACAGGGAACCCTCGGATAGGGAAGTTCTGGGGTCTCCCCTGCCCTCGTGTGGTCTGCTTCTGGACAGATGGGCGTTTAGTCAGCTCAGCGAGCGCTGGGCGAAGACCTTGGAATGCAAGGTGGCAAAATCCTGAACCGTAGGCGGTCTGGAGAGCTCTTTAGACTAAGCAAGCTGCATCTCTAACTAGTGGTGGGGGTGTTTACTGGTCACTGTGTGATTGGTAATCATGCCGTAAGGCTGGACGTCATAAACGACCCTTAGATTCCCCTCCTCTTTCCCCTACCCACCCATTCTTTTTCCGGCCACCCTGCATCTTTTTACCCCTCCCCTCAAGGACCTCCATATACGGAGTTAGCCCGTTGACCTTACCTAACTTTACTTAACCTAATTATCAATACGAAAAGCTAAATCTTTTTTCAATCTTTTCGCAACGATTTTTCTGAGATTTGTCATGCAATTTATTTAGTAACGTACTTAGATCTACATACTTAATTACTATGTCAAACAGGCATTAATTTTAAGGGGGGAAAATATTAAGGCAAAGAAAAAATTACTAACAATCGAGTATTTCTTTCACTTGTGTAATAAATTTTACTATCCCAATCAGGTCCTCTCCCGCAATTGAGTGAACTTGTTCAAAATATATCGCTTATGCTAATCAATAGCCATCGGGCTATGGACGCGCCTCGACCCAGCATGCCCGGCCTAGTTAATGTGGGTGGCATACATATCAAGCCAGCCAAACCATTACCAAAAGATTTGCAGGTAAGCACTCCATTAAGGATGTATGTATATTTATATGTATGTACATAAGCTGCAGCATTTTCACTAAACCTATGCTAATATCCTTCCAGTCTTACCTCGACAACTCCACACATGGCGTCATTTACTTCAGTTTAGGCTCATACTTGCAAAGCACCGACATTCCATTCGAAAAAATCCAGCTACTCCTGAACGCATTCGCCCGGCTCGAGCAAAATGTATTGTGGAAATTCGAGAACCACGACACCAACACAAAGCTACCAAAAAATGTTAAAATCTATAAATGGCTACCACAGAATGATATTTTAGCTCATCCCAATTTGAAGCTATTCATTACTCATGGTGGCATCTTTAGCACCCAAGAGGGTATCCATTGGGGTAAACCGCTCTTGTGTATACCATTCTTTGGTGATCAACATCGCAATGCTATGAAAGTGACACGTGCTGGATATGCACGCACGTTGAGTTTCGATACAATTACTAGCGAAGACTTAGTGCATAATATACGAATGTTAATCAATGATGACATATATAAACGTAAAGCCATGGAGGCATCGCGCCTCTTTAGAGATAACCCCACAATAGCTTTACAGGAGGCCTCCTTCTGGCTGGAATATGTGATAAGGCATAACGGCGCAATCCATTTGAAGTCCCATGGCGCTTACATGCCGCTTTATCAGTATTTGTTGTTGGATGTGTTGGCTGGTGTAGTTTTATTTTTATTTCTGGTAGTTTCGTTAATAGCTTTTTTGGGAAAAGTGATAAGTAGACTTATGTTGTCGCCAAGGCGCAAAGCGCGCTCAAGTGAAGGCGTGTCGAAAAAAACAATAAAAAAGATTGACTAATATTTTATAATTTATGACCCACTGCAATAGCAACAGCACAACTCAAAATTTCATGTTTTTTATTTATATAGCGGATTATATTTATATAAACGCAAAATCTTTAATTGGCTCTATTGAAAAATGTCGAAAATTTTGAGTTGTGTCGTTATTGCAGAGCACCATCGATATGTATGTATGTATGTCGAGATAGCAACGGGTTCGGCTAGTTCATAAGCCATTTGTGTTAATGTATTTAAAAAAAAAAATCAAACACGTGTGATTATAGTTTAATGAACTCTTGCGATTTAAAATTTATTGTGAAAAAAATTACCATCATAAATATAGAGATTACATTGAAGATAATGACTATTATAAAACAGTAAAAAATTATTGTAAAATATATATCGTCGTTTAAAGTACAAAACCGCGTATCACGAAAATGCAAAACCTCGTATGTGAGATTGCCAAGATTTTGTAGGAGAGCGTAAAGCTAGTCCTATTTCAAAACGGTTCTCTCTTGTATCCCTAAATATCTCTTCTTCTTATATCTAAGTATCGACATTTAAGTATAAATGGATAAAGGGCTTGATGCCTAGGGCTTCCGGTGAGCAAATATATTTTTTGGTACAAATGTCAGTTACGCGGTTTTGCACTTTAAGCGACGATATGTACAAATATACGTATGTATGTATATACACAAAGTTTAGCAAAGCTTTTCATTGAGCGTGATGCGTGTGTCGTCCAGGTGGGCGGATACCTTCGGTTGGAGTTCGGGGCCGAGTATCGAACCTAGGGCACATTGGAAGGTGGCTGGGGGGTGCCATCCATTGGCACAGTGCTCTTCATGGGACGGTGAATGTGTTGTATGGTCGCGACTCTTTGGCTAAGGCTATTTGCCAAACCGCCAGTCTTCAGCTCGATGGTGGCGAATTTGTACAATATGGGGTAGTGGATACGCGTCTGTTTTGCTGGACGTTTGGAATGATTTGGTAGTCCATACACATCCTCCAGTTTCCTTGTTTTTTTTCGGACTAGAAAAATTGGAGAGCAGTATTCGCTTTTCGACGATTCGATTCGCTTGACTGTCAAGAGCTTGTCGACTTCAGCCGGGTTGCGGGGGTAGTATCTTCAACGACCGGTTGTGTTTGGCGGCGGCTCTGGGCCCAGTAAGTCCACTGGAGGTCTTTTGATGATATGTCTATGAAAAACTCGATTAGCTGCCTGTTCTTCTCATTGCTTGGTTGCTCTCCCTCTATTAATGCACACAGCTTGACGGGCGTTCCGCCTTCCGCGTGGTGATTGCGGGTAGTTGTTTGCCACTAGCGTGATGACAACTCCTTTTTCCCTGAGGAAATCCATTCCCAGTATCATGCGCTCAACAAGATTTGGGAATTCTAAAACTAATGTGGTCGTTGCCTGACCGTTGTACTTTATCTTCGCGGAGTATGCATAGTAGGCTAGAAACGCAGCTAGTTGCACATTGTGGTGGCTAGGTCGAGGTCGGATATTCCTATCTTCCAATTGTTAGCGTATGGTTTCATCGCCATGGGTTGGCGTAGCGCCGGGGCCAACTAGTGATCCAATGCTCATTCATTCTACTACAACGTTGGCAAAGAAACGTCCATTAATTTTCCCGTGAGTTAGTGTCCGTAGGGGCAGTGATAATCGGTGTTGTTCCTGAATTGCATGTTTCGGCGGATGGTTCTGCGCCGAAGATTTTGCGGCGTCGCAATGACAGTCTCTGGAGAGGACATTATCTCAGCCGCACTTGAAGAAGGACAGTTTATTAACTCCTCGGCATTTAAATGGCGATGGGCGCGCCCTTTGCATCGCCAACACGATTCCCCTCTACGTTATTCTTCGTACAACGGGGGACAGGCTGTGTGCTTCTTTGCCTGGCTGCTTCGCTCTTCAGGGGCTCGTATTCGGTGAGTTCGATCAGCTCCTCAGTTGTCCAGAACTCAGCCCGATTAACAAGGAGGTAGTACTCCCTGCGCACGCCAGCGCAGATGCGCCCCAGATTGTCTTACTTGCACATAGTAGGGGGTTGGCGCACTCGAGTTTGCAGAGCCAGGATTTCATCTTTGGCTTTCTCTGCACTCTGTTGCCTTCGTTTTGGGATGGTCGCTTCCAGCTGGCGTTGATCAAAGGTTTTCGCACACGAATCCATAGAAGGTCTGCCCGCGTAGGACCTCAGTTAGGTGCGTGGACTCATCAATCAACTTATCTTTTTTATCAGGTATATCTAGCCGAGAGAGTAGAAAATCAGAGTTTTTTTCCTCGCACCACCTCCTGACGAAATACTTTGCCGTAGTACCGGGTGCAACGATGCATGTTGGTAGGATGTTTAGCTGGATGACGGTACTGGGGTCAGGCGCGCCGTGCTGCCTGTTCTTAAATAAAATGAGTGAAACAATTTTCTATATCTCAGTTCACCTAGCCTAACCTCTTTTCTTTCTGTTGCTATAACTTTTACAATGTTTTAGTTATCCATAAAAGAATATTTCTAAATTGTTTTTCTTCTAATTCAAAACATTGCAAGATGCCGTCGCGATGGGTTTTGTGAGTAAACACAATTTTTTCTACTTCTCAATCGTATATTGAAGATTTTCTATTTGTTCTCCTGCACAACAAAGTAAACAAACCTGAAAAAATAATATTCGCCCCTGGAATATATTTTAAACGCAAATCTCATCGCTCGCACCTTTTATTGGGATTTTCGTAGACATGTGATATAATAATTTATTAAACATTAAATGGTTTCCAAGTGTCTTGTGGTTATTAACCAGCAAGTGTGAATTCTTATATGTATATATACATCTGTATGAATGTTCAAATGCAACTCAAAAACACCGCCATCTTCTCCTACTTAAATAAGATAAGCCAAAAAGTGCTATTGTTCATTTGTTTATAATGTTTTTACTTACCGACTAAATGAAGACATTTTAATCAAAACGAAATAACGAGAGCGTATACGAATGTAACCACAAAGTATATATGTATGTACATTAGGGTGCATCACGCCCCATGAAAAAAATGCTTTCGTTTTTTCTTCGGAAATATAAAATTTATAATGTTTTAAAACTTCCACAAAAATATCTCGGAAAAATATTATGACCTACAGGAGCTGAAACTATTTGAAAATACCTACAAAAATCGAGATTTTTTATAACTAAATCTGGGTAAAAATAATTTTTTCCTAAAAAAATCATCTCAGCTGCTAGAAGATCTTAAATCATTCGCATAAAAGTCATTAACATTTTTCGCAGTTAAGAAGGTGTTAGGAAGCAAAAGTTTATAACGACTTATACAAATGACTTTTATAAGTATGATTTAAAAAATAAAGTTTAATGACTGATTTTTATTTATGACTTTTATAAATAAAAGACTTCGAATACTGTTATCTAAGACGAGTAATTTTAAACTCACAAATAACTGTTATTTGCAAATTATTTAGATAAATATCAAAAAAAAAAAATAATAATTGTTATTTTGGATTTATAAAATAAAAATCAGAAATAACTGTTATTTAAAGAGTAATTAAATAAAATTCAAAACATAATTGTTAAAAAGCGATTTTTTTAATAAAAATTGTAACTGTTGCGGTCCCTGCTTAAAATATAAAAAGAAGTTATAATTCCTGCGGAAAAACAGCAACTTTTATTGGTGACGCACCCTAATGTGCATACATACATATATATATTTTTAATACATTGCTAGATATTGACGTTTTTATACTAGTTTATACCAGATGCATTTATGCATATTCAAATTTTGTTTGATTCTTTTTCCGCAAAATAAAAGAAAACAAAAAGCTTTTAAGACATTTGAACCGAAACAAATAAATTAAATAAAGCAAAACCAATTAAAAATAAAATACTATGTATACATGACAGAGCGTACGCATACGTATGATTGTATTGGGAGATGTACATATATGTAATTATGTTGGTAAACAATATTTAATACGGTACATGAAATGCATAATTTTGTCATATACGATCGTATTGTATAGCTATTGGGGTTATGCTCTTGATTATGAAGTCTATAAATGATACGAAATTTATGTGGTAAATACAATACAGATATACCTACAATAAAGTCCAAAGTTCGGAGAATGCTTCTCACGATATGGTAGCCTACGAACGTCTTTTCAAACGGAGCTTTATGTGTACATTCATATCTCCTTTTCAGCAGAATATAAATAAAATCTTAAATTTTTGCCACTTCAGGATAGAGATCATAGGCATAGGAGCTTGATATCGCTCAGAGCACACTATGTAAATAAAATACAGATTTATATAGCGAAGTCGGATGCCCACTCATAGCCGCATCTACTAGTGAACCGACGCTGCAGTCATCAGTGAACCATTAAACCGAATTTATGTGCCCACACCGAAGTTGCCCCTCCCTCCTTAGGCTGCACATGTATTGAATTGGTTACCGTGGCACCAAGGATGCGTGAACGGGAGTGTAAGATTTGGAATTGAGAATGATCGTGCAACTGTAACTACTTGCCGAGAAGAACAACTATTCCCCATTGCACTCGTTCTCTTGCGATCGGGAACAACTATGCAATACGAGACCGGAAGAGGCAACGATACGCATTTTTCAAATTAACAAGCAGGGTGTCCAGACTGTTAAAAAAAAAGCGCAATTTCTGGAAAAAAAATCGCCATTTTTTTATAAAATTAATGAAATCGATTTAAAAATCTTTTATTTTAAAAATAAGATCTTGTTATAATATAGTTTTTAAAAACAAAAACGAATATAATACCTTCAGATCACTTATATAATAGTGATGTACAAACAACGACGCTAAAAATTAAATAAAAGCTTATAATAAGGCGAGATCAGCTATTTCAACAATTTCTTCAAAATATTGCTTGATATTGGAAAGGTTTAGCAGCAGAAACCATAGCCTTCATATAACACTTTATTCGAACTACTGAATTAAGGCTTTCCAACCTCATCCTATTTCGAATCTTAGTTTTAGTTGAATTCATTATGGAAAAAACGCCCTCAACAAATAATG